AACCGTACATGGAAACAGAGTTTTATGGGGCCCCCAGGAACTTGGGGCCCTAGGCAGCTGCCAGGTATTGCCTAATGGTAACCCCCCCCTCCTGGTCTGGAGTTGACTGAAAACCTTCCTTTCTGAACCGATTAATCACATCGTCTCCATAGAAACATAATGATCTTATAATGATGAGCAGCGGGACCCCGTCCCTTAGAGAACAGGGATCATTAGTGGCCCTCCTTCTGGATTTCATGCCGGTCTCTCCTGATTTGCTGTTAGATCTCAGATCCCAGCTGGATGCTGCAGCGTTTTTAACCCTCTCCCTGCTGGCCAGTTTTCCGCCGCCTTAGAACAGATCGGCGCTTCCTCTGACTTAGAAAAGCAGCATCTTAGTTCTTGGTTTGAAATTTCTAGCAGAACTATTTGGGCCCCTGAAAATATGGTCCCTAAAAGGTAATGCTGGGCCGGGGGGCAAACTGCAGGTTTCATTTCCTGATGAACTGCTGGTGTGATAGTCGGGTTCCCTATGGTCGGACCTTCAAACAGATCACAGGTTGTTCACCATTAGTATAGGTGTGAATAAAGGACTCTGGGCCAGAATAAAAAACTGGACAGAGTTCCACTTTCTGAGCTGCTCCTGGTGCCTGATAATAACGGCTTCAATATGCTGAGGTTCTGCCTCCGAAAGTTTTCCTCCATTTGCAGTTCAGCGTTCTGTCCGGCCGTAGCCGTTGTTGAGCATTTGGAGAAACAATCGTTGCACGCGTGGCTTTGCGGTGAGCTGCGGTGAGCTGCGGTGAGCTGCGGTGAGCTGCGGTTCACGTCTAAATTTGTTCCATTTCAGCGTTTGCTGATGACCAAACGTCTTTCCACAGACTGGAGCTGTTTGAACATAAATTCTTCCTAATTTTAAATATCAAACTAAAGAAGACTCGGATTAAACTATGGATTTAAAGTCATTTCTCATCAATATGTTCTGACATATTTCTGTTTCATGATGTGAAGTTCTACCAGGTCTAGCTCTAGTGGTAACCCTGAGCTCTCAGTCTGTTGTTTAGATCAATTACATCATTTATTTTCATCACTTTTATACATCAGGCATTTCTGTATAATCTTTTATGCGTTTTCTGTTCACTACATG